GCTGGTCGAGAGAGGCGCACGACGACCTCGACAGGGCGTGGCGGGTCACCGGTCCTCGTTCGCTCTTAACCATTACCGTACCAACCGATTCAATGGGCCCCCGACCTTTCTATTTTTACTAATTCTATCTTAATCTTACATTGTACAATTTTTCATCTTCGACCTTTTCTTTTTATTTCTTTTTTCTACATCTACATATTGGGATTGTTATTTTTTATATCATCTCGAAAATTGCAGCAGAGTTATCAATGTTCTTTGCAATTGAAATAAATCTAGTTTATCAAAGATTTATGAGAATATAATTTGTATGAAATGTAGGTCTCGTTATTTTTTTCTTTTTGTAAAATTTCATGCCTCCCATGAGTTGACAAGTTTATTTTCAAGACATCGATGATTATTTTTATCGTTATCGTTGCATTCAAAGAGGGGAAAAAAACAAATAAAGTTTCTTTACTTACCAAATATCAAATACTAAAATACATGAAAGAAAGATTACGAGGTTCGTTAGCCTTTCCGTGCAAACAATACGTCAGATTACGCCGCAATAACATCGCAGAGAGAGACTAACGTAGAACTCTCTCTCTCTCTTTTCTCTGATATAAATCGGAGAAAATAAAGAGGAAGAAGAGGGATGAGGGGGAGGAGGAGGAGAAGGAATGATTAAGAACAATGACAAATAACTACTCGGTAAATATTGCTTAAGATTTGTATCGACAAAAAAAGGTCTCTCTCTCTCTCTCTCTCTCGTTGAATTCAAACAAAAGCATGGATGTAAGAGTTGTGCGCCGGTAGAATAGAGTTTCCTTTGGAAGGCTTTCTTATCTCATTAAAATGCAAAAAATAAGCCCCCGTCGTAGGAGTTCATAGACAATTCTTGGCTATCGGGGATCGTTTGGTTAGATCTCTTGGCGGAGACACACCGTGACAAATACTTATTCGCGGTTACTTTTTCATCTTGTTTTCTATGCCTTCTTGCTAAAGTAAAAGAGAGAGAGAGAGAGAATTAAATGAGGGAACCCGTTGGACAAGGAAAGTCGATCGTACTTGTAACTCTTATACGGTTTTGTGTCAGGAGCGCGCTTTCGCGAGTTGCTTGCTCGTTACTCGGTCATTTTGACAGGCGGTGGCGGTAGCGGGAATAGTGACAGCAAGTAGCAACAGCAAGCGGCTGTTATTCCAACGACAAAACTCGTTCCATTTGACGGAATCGGGGCCGAGAATGAGCGGTTGAACGAGCGAATAAGCAATGCTCCGTTTTGTGCCGGCGTGTCCGAGTAATTGCTCGAATCACGGTAAACTAGAGATAAGATCGATCTTACTGGCAACACACACACACAACTTAACAAAGTATTTATATACGTCGGTATATGTATAGATATAACTAACTGGTGGTGGTGTTCATCGTATTGAAATAAAAATATAATCGTGGTTATTGGATTTTTGTTCTCTTCTTTCTTTATTTCTTTCTTTCTTTTCAAGCATCTTATCATATCTGTATCCCTTTCTTTTATTTTTTTTTTCTTTTTAACAACGTAGGTATATTTCGAAAACGAGAATACTTATATTCTATATATCTATTTTATTCGTTATCTGGAACGTTATCGCGAATGATAACGGTTCTTTTCTTCTTGCTCGGAGATGTAAGAATACTTTTGATAACGATGACAGTTTTCTAAGGACTCGATCAAGTACGCGAGGAACTGACTAACCATTTATTCGAATACCTACATTGTAAAGTATTTTTCTATGATAAGTGGGGCTCGTCGGCAGGTGCGATGATACCCGGTGACATGTTGTAAACGAGATATACACAGAAATCAACTTTATTACACGCACCTTTGGATTCAATAAACACAACGGAATTTTGTTTCCTTCCTCGTTCTTAACGTTACACGTTGCACGATGATTTAAAGCCGTTGGGAGTAATTAAAAAAAAAAAAAAAACACTTTTATGCGCCATAAATATGAGCTTGATCGTTGGATGTGCCAAAGAAAAGTAAAGAGTGTTCGTTAAGAGATACGATTCGTACGATTTATCGTTAAAAATAAATATATATAATGAAACATATTTGTATCTAATTGTAAGTATGCAAGTGAAATCAAAGTTTAATCATTTTTCCATGATTTTGATTTAAATTTATCGATAAGCTTGTCGATCGATTAATCTCTCTTCGAAGAAAACGAACAGATCTTATAACTAACGTGACGATGTTCCGATTGGATGGTCTCTTTTACCGAGGTTAAAATACCGCGAGATTCTTTGACTTGAGGAATTCGAAACGGCGTGTTAGAAGAAACAAGCCGTTACTTTTGGAGGATCCTCGCGATTCATTCCCAGGTCATGCTCGAATGGCACTTGCCAATTTCATTTCGTTTCACTGGAATTCCAGTAAGAGTCGTCTGACCACCATATTCCAACTTCTGAATCGATTCAGCCGAGATGAATTTTCCAGCAGGAAAGAAGAACCATCTCGAATCATTCTGTTGAACTTTTTTTTCTCGCTCGAGTTCCAGAACGATCGGTGGTTGTTTCGACCGATTTTACGCGTCATAGTTTGAAAGTTTCTCTCTTCGTCGAGAGAGAGAGAGAGAGAGAGAGAGAGAGAGAGAGAGAGAGAGAGAGAGAGAGAGAGAGAAAGAGAAAGAAAAGAAAAAAGTTTTCGATTGCAAAATGTTCACAACCCTTCACAATTGGAAAGCGTACAAATTGGTATTCAGTTGATCGGGAAGAAAGAAAGGGCGACTATCCACTAGCCAGCAGCAGCAGCAGCTTGCGATATTCGCTTGAAGCCCTCCTCCCTTGCACATTTAAAACCTCGTCTCGTAACACGATCGGTACAAGCGCGTAGATATGTTGTTCCAGGGCTAACAACGTGTTTGTGGAAGGTATAATTGATGCGGGTCCCGTATCGCGTTTGCCCTTAAGAGAGAGTTTGGAACCGGGTGGAGAAAATATAGGTTGTCTTCGTGGCTCGGCCTTTGGAGTCTGCGGTCGCCCGCGGTGCTACACGCTGGATGATATATTCTCAGCAACTGCAGCTGTGTGTTACCTTGTTGTTGTTCTTCTTCTTGTACGTTAAAGAAAGCCCCAGAGAAAGAGAAAAAATTTACAAAGAGAGAAGATAGCAAACGTCAGGACTTTCGTTCGAGAAAGTATCTTTCTTCCTCTCCCTCCCTCTTACGAGCTTTTCTTATCGGACGGTTTCTTACGAAAGATCTTATCAACAAATATAGAAGAACAACCGCCACGCTATCGAGGATCACATTTTCTTCTTATTTTTCTGTGTGAATTTGTCCAGTCAACCAAGAGGAAAATAAAATTCTTACGCTCGAGTAAACTCTTTACCGGGGCGTCATAAAATGGAAATCACTTGTAACGCTATCGCGTCACGAACAACCACATTCGGATTATAGTCTTTTGGCATTAAGGAAAACGCGCGTGAAGGAACGAGCTCTCTTTCTCTCTATTTTTTTCTCTTTCTTTATCTATCTTTCTCAGTACGTTGTAATTTCACGGAAGGAACGGAATCGCTGAGCCGATAAGCCAGCCGTTCTTTCGTTCATCCTAACGTACCTAATTCAATGTTCCACGCATTGTCGTTAAGCTCCGCGATTGTGCGTAGAGTGACTGTTTTTAAATTTAAGCGACTATAATAAAACAGTATTACGAGAACGTTTAGATATTTTTCATGAAATTTTCTACGTACTTTACCCCAACAACTATTACTTCGGTCAATTAACTGTAATAGAAAGGCAAATGACTAAACGCGAAAGGACAAGAACAAATATTCCACAAAATAAGCCATAAATTTCGATCGCTATGATAGGTCGAAGTTAACGAACGGACAACTCTTCTTCTTTCATTTTCCTTATCCTAATCTGTAATATAAAACAAACACGAGATACGAGGAAAAAGTGGTGGACGAAGAAGGAGAAGAAGAAAAGTATAGAAGGAGGAGGAGGAACAAGAGGAAGACCGGTCTGGTGCGTTGCGTGCACGAGTCGCATTACGCCGTTGAATATTTCATTCATAAGCGAGCCAAGCTATCTTCGTATTCCACGAAGGAACACACGGCTGATCGTAGCTAGCCATATCCATGCGCATATACACGTGCACGGGTACTCGCGTAAGTTTATTCCTTCGTATCTCTAACTATGTATGTAGTATGTATGCAAGTACACGCTACATATGTGGAGACTAGCTCGAGGCCGTTGCCGTTGCAATTACGTCGACGTCGGCCCCCGTAGCCGTGAATGAAACGCCTGGCTTGTCCTTACTCCCTTCTTCGACCTTCCGCATCTTCTCTTTCTTTCTTTCCTTCTCTTCATCTTTCTTCGTGTCTTCTCTATCTATCCATCCTTATCCAGCCAGGCACAAAGTTGTTTTTGCATGCCAGAGAAATAATGGGCCGTTGCGCTGCTTTACATCGACGTCGATGATGCACCTTGCCACGAAGAAGAAGAAGAAGAAGAAGAAGACACTCCGAGACGAATTCTTCCCCCCTTTGCGGAATTCCGCTTGCTGGCTGCCGTGAAACGCTTCAACCTACCTCCTCTTCTCTTTCTCTTTCATTTTTTCCTTTCTCTTAATGTCTCGTTACTACAGTATACGAAGTGTAATCTTATTATAATGTAATTACAATGATATTAGGTATGAATCATAACTTCACGCGTGATAATTAAAAAAAAAAGCAAAAGAAAGATTCATAATTATGTAATCGAACAATTTGATAAATTCAAACGTAATGACGTTAATAATCGTTTATTTGTTATATGCATATATGTATGTATACCGGTGGAAGGTTGCGTCAGAGAGTTCCGTTTGCGAGATTTGATTTGATTTAACATTCGATTAGATTAAACGATTAAATTTGCGATTATTGTATCTAAAGGAAATGAAGTCTATATTCAATTTAGCCTCGTCGAATGAAACATGAAAAATTGCTATTGAATTGGAAAACGTTCGAATTCTAATATATCATTTTATCATTGATTTTTAGAATTTCCGGGAGCACCGTATAGACGGAGCAGCGTTACCGCTACTGTCGGAGGAACACTTAAGAGGAACGATAGGTATGAAACTGGGGCCAACCTTGAAGCTTCGAGCAATGCTTGGACGGAAGCTTGGGGCGTGTACCGTCTGTCTTCATTGTGCACATTGCCATAAGACACCGCTACCAATACTAAGCACGGCAGCTGCGGCTGCTGTCGTAGTTCAGCAACAACAACAACAGCAACAACCGTCGCAACAACAGCAACAACAGTCTCAGCAGCAGCAACAGCAACACCAACAACAGCAACAACAGTCTCAGCAGCAGCAACAACAACAACAGCAGCAGCAGCAGCAACAACAATTGCAACAGGCACAAGGTAGACGTCCGAGTAGTACGGGTAACTGACAAATACTGGCGGGGGCTCCTTCTTTTGGCCTTGACGGAGCGCCTGCCATTACGATTGACTCTACAGATCCAAACAGAGCCTTGAGGATAGAAAGGCGTATTCCACGGCCTATACGTAAACCCGAGGTTGTCTTCAAAAAACCGATCAAACAGTGACACCTGGAGAAACTTTACTTTCGAATTTTTAACGAACAAACATTTTTCATTAGAATCACCATAATCGTGAATGACGATATATATATATTTTTCGTAGTTAAAATGCGAAGTGTCGAAGTTAAGTGTGTCGTCCAATAAGTTGGTTCACTAAAGCCTGCATATTTAGCTCGTTATAGTTGGACAAACTTGTTGTGTGAGTATCATCCTTGTTCGAATTTTCGATAAAACTTTTTTTTCATTCTCTTTTACACAAGGGAGAATATATATATAATTATTTGAATTTTCTGTGACAAGTGTTAGAAATATGGATATTGAAACGTGTCAATCGACTACAATTACGAATAAACGAGAGAACAGAGACTTTAGTCGATGTTGATAACTTGTACCTAGTATAAGAGTACCTAGAATACTGCTCAGAGATATTTTCGAGCATAAGCATGGAACAAATGTCACTTTTTTTTCTCCAAATAACTATTTATAAAATCTAATAACGTGGAATAGATATATATATTTTTATGCGTGAGAGAAAATAAGAAGAAGGTGTAACAAAAGTATAACAGATCAGGATTAAATCTTGAACGCCTAATATTATAATAAAAACGTGTATAGAAATATTATATAGGACGTATTAATTATGAGATAATTGAAGATTTTTTAAAAATGAAAAACACGTGCCTACGCTCGAAATGTCTTCCAGAAAGAAGTGTCGTTTACAATCACTATCATTTTGTTATCGCGTTATACATTTAACAATTCGATAGGTTTGCAAGAAACCTTGATTAAATAAATATTATAGTTATATTATACGAGAAGTGCGAACACCTGTGCTAAGAATTAATCGTGGAATTGTATTAAGTAGATGTATACTTAATACTCGCGTGAAAAGGAAAAATAAAATACAAAAGAAATCTGATGTAACTATTATTTGAGAATCATGTGCAATAAAATGATACGCGAGTTTCGCCGAACTATAAAATACGTACTTTTTTAAGCAAACGAATAATCTTATATTATATTATTGTAGAAATGAATTATGAAAGATTATATTAGCATCGATAATTGTTCCGTTCGTATCATATGCTCATATATTTACATGTGTACATTGTAACGACGTTTTTATATCGACGATTCTAACGATAAAAATACTAAATTTTATATTTTTGCTAATGTTCTATTGCAAATAAAAAAAAAAAACCGGAAAAAAAAGAAGAAGAAAAGAATTGGGTGCGGGTGAAAATAGAAGAAAATAGGTAGAGAAAAAGAGGGAGGGAAATAAATACAAGAAAGGGTTGAAAAGTTTTGAGCCTAAACAAAAAAACATTTATTTTTATGTTAAGCTCGAAACATTTGAACCCGTTCATGAATATAATATTAATAAAAATATGCGTATAAAGTACGATCGGCGGAACTGTATAGAAAATTGTACATTTTCTTTTATTTCTTTTTCGACGTTCGTTACGAGCGTTTATTTATTTAGAGATTAATCGTTGCCTTATCGTATTCATTGTAATAATAATAATAATAATAATATTATTATTAATAATAATAATAATAATAATAATTAAAAATCGACCGACTTTAGGTATATATATAATATAATAGGTATGTTGTGTACATCGATGAAAGAATAATAACGACGGACGTAATGGGATTCGTCGTATGAAGAAAATAGAAATTACGACGAGCAGTATTTTTAGATTTACACTAGCCTAAATTTACTGCTAGTTATACGTGTAATAAATATACATACATGTATATGCACGAGTACTCGAGAGCAATTCAAGATTTGTGTCTATCATGTAAGGAATGAAGAAAAACAAAACCTTCGTATTTTTTTATTTTTAATTACACATTTATCTTTCGCGATATAATTTGTTTATTATTAATTAATATAAAACAGGTTCCATATATATGTATGCAACTATCGTATACGAATATGCGTTGATATACCGTTGATGATTATTAATATTTTGTTATTCATTTATTTATGTCACATATATAGCATAATCATTTTCTTTAAATGGAAATTAGAGTAATTCTTTATTTTGGAATCATGAATTCTCACGAGAATAATGCGAATCTTGAAGTTGCTAATGAAAACTCGAATCAGCGGCTTTTACTTAAATGAGAAAAGAAGAATCATTGTACATAATGCTTAAGCATTTATTTATATTGTGCTTTTACAAATGGACTCGTAGTATATTTTATTCAACGTTATAAACGAAGTAAACACTTTCGTGCGGCGGATTGGTCTATCTATAAGAGAGTTATTACTATACATATATATATTGTACATTATATATGTAAAAACAATATCGTATTTTTTGTTATTAATGTCGAGCAATACTTATTTAATTAATGATTGATTGTTCAATTTTTTATAATTTTTATTTTTTAAATTACTAATAAATAATCAAAATTAAATCTAATAAATAAAGTTAATTTTCCAACGATTGTTACAAAATATTCATTTTACGATGACAATGAAATAATTAATTTTATTTTAATATTTTTTTTAAATAAAATTGAAATCGTTGATTAAACAAACAATAAGTATTGCCAGAAAATTGTTCTCTATCGATAGAAACGAAGCTGCGCGATAAAAAGAGGACCGGTTTACCTGTTTTGTGATAAAAACCTAATATTTTAACTCATTTTTACACAAGGACACACACATACACACACACATTTCCTCTTTAAGTTGTTTACTTATGATTTCGATCTTATACTTTTCCCTCATTTTTCTTTTTCTTTTTATAATTTCTTTCATTGCGAGTCTGTCGTGTATTATTTTACGTTTAACTGTCATAATATGTATAGTAGAAATTAATGGTGAAAAGAGAAAGAAAAAAAAACAGTACATTGTTTCTGTTAAAATAAATTTGTTGAAAGATATATCGTAGAATCGGGATCGGTCTTCCTATTTATGACCTGATTACAGAAAATGAAAATCACACGAGATTATACACACACATTCATATAAATATATATATTAATGATTAAGATAGAAATAATATGATCGCAAATAATCCTGAAAAAAGAAAATCATTTAATCGGATCTATTTTGAATGGAATGGAACTTTCATCAATTTTCTCTTGCCTGTAAAGGAATAATATTCTCGGTTAGTTTCGATAATGTAATCTCGTTAATTTAATTGATTAATTCTAACAACTGTTGAATATGAATATACACTTACGTTTACATGAATAGCAATAACTCCGTCCTCTTCGTTCGAGAGTATCTCAACGTGGGCTTTTCTATCGGCAGTAACTTCAACCACTTTACCCGTACATCTGCCGTTCTTGAGATTTCCAGAAATGACGTCGCAATATTTGCCAGGAGGCAAGCAACTGTCGAAAGTTTCTTTCAAGTCCCAACTGTTGTTATTGATCACGATGAATCCACGATTGCCACGGCAGAATGCGATCTGATTGCTACCGTTGTCCCACCAGTTATCTAACTTAGTACCGTTAACTGTTACACGGAAACGCGCCATATTATATATCTGTCTCCAACGATGTTCACAAACCCAACCGTTTCCACAAGTATCGTCTTTATTGATACTAGGTGGGAGAAGATTTCCATCGGAATCAGAGGGTGGACTATCGTTAAAGTCATTAAAAAAATATGAACTCATGACACGTGGTGTACCATAAGGATGAGCCAACATCAACGCTACACCCATCTAAAACGAATTCACATTTAATTCATTATATCGTTATTTAATATTTCTCTAAATTCGTTAATCCTTTCTTTATTTATTGCAATATGAACAAATTTATGAAAAATCTATATAAAATGCAAATGATTTATATTTTAGGATATTACAATTTGAATTACCTTATACAATTTAGAGTATTTGTAGGTGAGTGTACCAGGGGAACGTTGAGTGTCATGATTGTCAATGAATACCAAAGCATTACTCGAGGGCATGAGACCCCAAGCTTCACCCCAATTATTAAACCATTTCAGATCATTTTTACCAAATAAGGCATTGCCCAATTCACGACCGTATTGGAATTCCGTAACTGCTGCGAATTCGTATTCTGACTTCTTAATCGCCTCACCACCGTTATCTATAACTTCTTGGAAAATGTATGGTCGCGAATTAGGTTTAAAACCATGTTTCGTGCGTAGATTTTTAATTCGCGAATAGATTACTTGTAAATCCTCCGGCCACATGTGCTTTGCTGCATCGACCCTGTAGAAAAAATACACCACATTTCACAAAGGCATATTCTTCAATTGGTTTGTGTCATTTTATAAAAGAATTTTTGTAGACATCTATTGGTATGCACAAACAATTTTAATTAAAATAATCTTTCCTTTTTTTAACTTAAATTGAAAATAACTCAATAGAAAATATCACGAGCACTGACCTAAATCCAGCTACTCCAGCATCGACAGCTGCGTTCAAGAACTCAACAATTTTTTCCCTTACATGTTCTTTGCTTTGATCAAGATCATGAAGCCCCACCAATTCACAATTGCGAACATTACTTGGATTTGAGTAATCCGTTATATCGCAACGTGAATGAAAATCTTTAGCTGTGTACGGTACCGCAGGATATTCGAGTTTGTCAGTGTCCGCTTTTGAACCACCAGTTCCAACAGCATCTTTGTGATTCCCAGTCATGTGATTGAACACAACATCGACGTATATTCTTACTTTAGCATTGTTACATCTTCTTACCATGTCCTTGAATTCTTGTTCATTTCCAGATCTCGTTTTCCATATGTACGATATTGGTTGATATCTTTCATACCATGGTCGAGATGCTATGATTACGTTCTCTTGAATCGGTGAGACCTTCAAAATTATTACATATAATAAATAATCGAATCGCGAGACTTTTATTAACTTATTACTAAATTAATGAAATGTAATCGAAGGATAATTAAAAAAACATATAAATTTTACATTGAAATAAATGTACGTAAATAGAAATGTTACATTTAATACAATTTTCAGGAAAATATTAAAATAATTTATTGCACGCGCTATATACTTTTCCGTTTTCAACACGTTCCATCTACTTTTGAACCTCTGTAGAAAAAACTAGGTACACCTACGATCAGTAAGGAATCGCCCTTCATATGTCAGTCTTCGAGTAAAAACGATTTCTGAGAGTTAGCTAGCAACCTAACAAAAAATTGTACGATACTTAGATCAAGAAGCTACGAATCGTTAAACGAGGAAAAAAATTTCTACGAGCAATAAACAATCGTGCTCTTGATAATACGACCGTGACATCATTTCATCTATAATAATCAATTTTATCTACATTTTTTTGCAATCATTATAACAAAAAATTAAAGTCCGTAAATACATGAATATTATTATTATTATTATTATTATAATTTAACAACTATTTAAACGGCATTGTTGTTAAGAATCATTATTTACCGTGTAATGTCGGTTGAAGCACGTTCATTAAGATTACGATAATAACAATTCAAACTTGAAGATATTTCAATCAGTTCGTTTGTTCGTCTTAAATAATGTGAAATTTAGACTCGTTACTTTGAACTGGGGATTATCGTCACGTATGAGTAAAAAAGAAGAAAAGTTTTCAAATGACAATTCTAAGAAGAATCAGTGGTAAGAATGTAAGTGGAAAATAAAACGCAAAGTTCTTGATTCCACGAATCAGTAATCGTTTTCATTGTTTCGTTATTCGTTTATGTAACGTTCCTGCAGAATTCCTTTCATTATGAATCAACCATCCAACGAACGACAATCTTTAGTTAAATGTATTGGATATTAAATATTTTTTTTATTTCTTTTTTTTTTAATTTTTTTTTAATTCGTTCTCCTACCTAACTACATGGCTACGAATTCTTTTCTTTCATTAATCATACCTACACGCGTAGAAAACTACTATTTCCTATTGCGTCACACACACACGTATTTCAAGCAAGACGAAATTCAAAATCTATTCACATCTGTTCTACGTGGTCTCCTAGGAATCTTTTAAAGACCACAATTGATTCAGGTGAAGAGAGAATCAATCATGATTATATTTTAAGCTTTACACTATCCTATATTTTTATTTCATTAATCATGTCTCTCTCTCTCTCTCTCTATATATATATATATTTCATTATCTTCTTATATTTACGTATAATTTGTATAGATCGTGATTAATAACAAATGAACACGAATGAACAAATCGATCGATCTAATTTATAATTTAATTTTTCTTCTTCTTCTTCTTCATACATATTGTCTTTTTTGTAACGAAAAAGTAAATATTAAACGATAAAAACGTTTTCATTGATTAGCTGACCTTCATTATTCTATATTAGTAAACACAAACGGAATGACTCATAATCATCATCATAATATGTTTATAATTTAATAAAGAAAAACAATCGTGAAATATTGAATTACCTGTACGCCACCGTAACCCATAGGTCCTAAAAATCTTTCGCACTCATCCGCGATGTTCTTAAATTTCCACTCGAAAAGATGGACCATAGTATCGTGGCCGTTGACATAATGAGGATCTTTGTAAGCAGCCGCCACAGAGAATAACAGTGCCAATACACTCACGAGTAACGTCATTCTGATGTCTGATCACGCAAATTACTTGTTTCACAGGATATACTTACAAGAATATATATATATATATATATATATATATATATATATACATAAATACAGATGTACACGTACGAAAGCAAACTTACACTTATACATTGAATTGTCTAATCGTTCCCGCATATACAAAGGTCGTTTTATTTACCGTACGTTATCGATAATATCGTAATGCACTATCGTTCAATTTCTAGGAATGATAACATTACTCGAGAGAATCCATTTATTGGTTACCGTCAAAATGATGGGTCGTATGCAGGTTGAAAGAAAACTGGCAGGAAAAAAATATTCAAGATAAATGTTTTCTCTCTCGTGTATATATTATATATATATATATTATTATTGTATATTTTTCAGTTATTTTTCAAACGCCATAACGTCTGCCACACCACCTGTACATATTTATGTTTCTAATTTATGTTTCTATTAGTTTATTACGTTTTAAGTCATAGTTGTATACAAAAACGAAAAAATTGAACAAAATTCAGCCCAATACGAAGTAAGAAATATGAAATAAATAATTTGCTAAAAAATATTATATACAAAAAGAAAAAAATATATATAATTCATAAATTAGTAAATTTGCTATAAAGCTATATAAATCAAAAAAATATCTTGCCTGTTATTGTTCCCACTCTGATTACGCCCCTGCTATCGAGCGACCTCCCATTTAAAGATATAGTATCGCAATTATATTGTCTGTGTGAAGACGTAATCTGGGACATATGACATTTATTATATAGGATTGATATTATTCTTTTAACAACATCTGTATAAATAGTGCAACTTGTTAGAAACAAGAAAGAACTTTGTTCATTTATTAAATCATTATTGAAAGTTTAATTATTTGTTATTTGTAAAACGTCAAGTATAACATTCAATATAAACATAATAATTTTTGATATCAAAATTTATTGCAAGAATATCAAATAAAATCACGACAAACTGAAAATAAATTGAAATACAATGAAATAACCGAGAAATTCACCAAAATGTTGACGTTCGTAATCGGGACTTCTTTTATTACTCTCATTAAGATATAATAATAAATCCCATTAAATGGCGAAGCATCTGATTCGTTGCATCACGTTATTGCATTTCTTCGTACCTGAAAAAAACTTGGTCATTCAAATTTACCGATAATTCTCTACGATAGAAGCCCCATTATTCATAAAACTTACCCCTCCTTCAATATTCAGTTCTCTGCAAAATAGCAGATATCTAGCGAATGATAACTTAAAAGATGATTAAATTTGCCAATACATTAAAGTTGAATGAAATAAATCAGTTTCGTATTTCAGAGCTCGATTAAAAAACAAAGAAAAAAAAGAAAGAAATGAATGAAAACGATTGTTGAGAAGATACTTTAGGTGCATTCGCGCCTTTCTTCATTTTTATTTTTTTTATACGTGTCTGATTTTACTACAGTATATCACAACATTATACAGATCGAACTTTAGTTAGAACTTGTGCCAATCGGCCGGCGAACTTCATACGTTATTTTCTTTTTTTTTTTTTTTTT